ATCACCTGATATACATTGGTCTGCAGCCTTTGTGTTCATTACTGTTTTTAAAAGTTGCCCTAAGCATGCTCCCTTCTGGAGTAGACAGGGTTTCCAGGCATATTACTTATAGAGACTCTCTTTAAGAACACAGTCTTGTTGTCCCCCCCCCCCCCGTAGCACCCTTTTCCATACATGCTGTGGAAATCTGGTTTTAGCAAAAGAGTCACGTGTTTACTTTTGCATTCAACACACAGTTGAGAGTCCTATTTGGGAGTAACTTAGAGGTAAAGAGGACATGACTTACTTGGCCCTTGACTACTTGGCTGAAAGTCTGTTAGAGTTAGGAAAGGTTTTTGTTAACCAGTTTGACAGGAGGTATAGAGGTGGGATTTATAAAAAAGTTTGGCTCAAGGAGATACAGAAGAAGGCCGGTGGGAATTAATTCTACAGATAGGTGATTAGGAAAGGCGCTACTCAGAAAGTGTTATTTCCAGTTGCGTCTTGAAGGCTTCAGGGGGTTAAAGTGGGAAAGCATTTGAGGCAGAGGAAAGAGCCAGCCAAAAGCTGAGAAGCAGGGAAGAATCTGACCCATTGTCCCTGGAGCCTGGGTTTCCATGCCACTTGATACTACTTCAGTACCAGATGCCACATATTTCTCCTGCCAAGGAGACAGGGCGAAATTGTCTCTTAATTCATACCATTATAATTTCTTGTAGCTTGAAGGGGTAGGAGTGGTGGCTTTCTTGAGGGCATTCCCTTTAATTCTGCCCAGGAACCTTCCTCACATCACACATCCGTCTTCTTTAGGTAGTAAAGTCTGGCTGGTGATAAGTTTATCAGGATCCAAACAGCTGCTTGGAAAGTTTATTTGTCAAGTGAGACAATTGTCTGGGCTGTTAACAGTCCTAGATGAAATAAACATGTGGTTCACTTAGTGAGCTGCTTAGCTATCACTGCCTTGTAGTGGAAATGAATAGATGATATCAGGCACATTTTAATTAAAGAAAGACTGCAGTGCAAAAGCAGTTACATATGAAAAGATCTAATGATAGGTGTTGTAAAGAGGCTCTGGTTCAGACCACTTGATTTGGAGTGCAAATGAGAGTTGGGCTAGGGGGCGCTGTTCTTCAGTTCTTGTTATTTCGGAGGGAAAAAAAAATTAATCTGGGCATCACTTACAAATAAAAATTTCACCGGTTACAGTAAGAGCAGTAATGGCACAATATGTTCATGAATTTTCTCCCATGGCTTGCAGATGTGAGGAATATGAACTCAAAGATGGTTCCCCTCCTTGCTATCCAGTTTGTTTTGCTCACTAGGGTAAAAGGTGAAGAAAGTACCGGTCACATCAGGACCCCTGTGCCCAGTAAATGCCCGTTGCTGCCACCTACTGGAGAGATTTTTCTCCTTTTGAAGTAATTCCCAGGTGGTTCATTAATTACGTATTGAATAATGGAGCAGTGAATTTGAACCCCCAGTTTGTGACCCTATAAAACACTGGCTAACTAGGAACACACATAAAGCATATTGCTTAAGGATTGCTTTTAAGAATATTAGGAATGGATCAAGTGATCATGAAATTCTGTTGTTAAAGGAGGTCCTAGAGAATGTTCAGCATCATTGTACTCTTCATGGACCAGGAAAACAGCAGCCACCATAGGCAATGAGCCAGACTAGATTTGAAGTGGGCCATTGGTTAGGAAGATTTTTTTTTTCTGGAAGTCTAGATTCTGGGCAACAAAGGTGGACTAAATGGGCTTTGGGCTCTAGCCTCTCCAAATAGGGCTGATGATTGGCTAGTAGTACAGCAGCAGCAACAGGAGGTATCATGCTTTTGGAAGTTAAGGTGGAAGTTCTGAATGCCAAAGCTAGGCTTCAAGTGCCTCTGTGACATTGACACGTTGCTTTCCAGGTTTTTAAAATATCTTCTCCCCAGGAGCTTTTCATCCTGTTAAATCTAATTCCCGGTTTCAGCCATTTGCAGAGCTGTTATGTCAAAAGTAGAAACATTAATATAGTTTCTTAGGAAAGGGCAGGAGCTCTATGCTTGGGCAAGAGACAGAAATATTAAAATAAAAGTGTATAGGTGCAGGTAGCTCATGCCTGCAATCCTAGCTACTCAGGAGGCTAAGATCTGAGGATTGTGGTTCGAAGTCAGCCCAGGCAGGAAAGTCTGTGAGACTCTTATCTCCAATTAACCACCAGGAAACTGGAAGTGGCATTGTGGTAGAGAGCTAGCCTTGAGCGAAGCAGCTCAGGGACAGCACTTAGTCCCTGAGTTCAAGCCTCATGACTGACAGAAAAAAAAGCACAAAAAACCAAAAGAAAAATCAAACAAAATAAAACTGAATGGAACCAGCACTTGCCTAATACAACCTAAGGTTCAGAAGAGGTCTCATAAATGCTGCCTTGCTAATAGGTTTTCTGATTCCCTAAGCAGTATAGATCCTATTATTGACACTGAGCATATTCATCCTGAAGAAGACAGATTAATGGGGGAGAAGAAAACTGTATCCAGAAACCTAATTGATTTCTTTTAACCTGTTCTGTTTTGTGGGTTGTTTTAGTAAAGGAGCAGAACAGTTCTCAGCTGGGAGGGACAGCTATGTCTCTTGCATTTTCCAGAAGAGCTGAAGACTAGGGAGCTGGCATGATCTAGAGAACAAGTAAAGCAAACTCCAGCTGAGCATCAACGATGTGCCAGACTGCTCTGTTGGAGTGTTCATGTAGCTACCATTGAGATCTCCAGAGTCTGGGAGGAGGTATTATTATCTTCTTTTTATGGATGAGGAAACAGGCTTTGAGAAGTGGTTTTACTGATGGCACGTGCTTTGTAGAAAATGAGTTTTTTTGTGGTTGTTTTTTTAAGTTTAGTGTTTCACAGTACTTTCTGGATCAAGGGTATTCTTGTTTGGGGTAGGGATTCAATACACTGTTTCTTGTTCTCTCAGTTCTTTAGAGTCTGCTTGGTTGCCTTTGAGGCTTGTTTCATTGCTGGGAAAATCTGGATATTTTTGGAATGAGAATCATGGTGAGACTTTGCATGGACTGTTACTGCAACAGTGTGGCATAGCCAGACAGAAAATTCTGCCTGGAAACAAAAATTATTTATTGTGGTATACATGGCTGTAAGTTGGTCTGGTGTTGACTTACCTGGTCAGGTTTGGCTGAGCTCTGTTCTCAGTTAAATAGGGTTCTACTCCAGTGGCCTTTTGGATTAGTAGGCTTGCAGGACCATGTCCTGCAAGGTGCAGAAGAACAAGACAATCAGTCCTACCTCTCAAGAACAGTCAAGCCTCAGCGTGTATAATGTCGCTAACATCCCAGTGGTCCAGACAGGTACATGGCTAAGCTCGAAGTCAAGGGATGGAAAGGAATCTTCTAATTCTAGTGAAAGGAACTGCAAAGCACGGGAACTGGATATGGGAGGGGCAAAGATTTGAGGCCAATAATTCAGCCGACCATAGTCCTATGAAAATTTCCTTGGCCTTTATGCCATCTGGTCTTTTCATGGCATCCCCAAATATGCATATTGCTCTGAGGTTATTGTTCCCAAATTGACAATCATTCACCCACTAATCATGTAATTAATCAAGTCCTACATTAAAAGCCTATACTATGTCAGGATCTGTGCAGTGCACTGGGGCTATAGGAATGCATGCTTCCTTTTTGTGTCCAGCCACTTTCAAAATTCCTAGAATGAAGGTCTTTGGAGATCATCCTTGATTTAATTTCTGCCATATAGGTACAGAACACTATAGATCAAATTGAAATATTAGTTCCTTTCCTGTCTTTTCAAGGTGATCACAGAGCTGCTGGCATCTGAGCTCACTTGGAGAAAAGCATCACAAGTCTAAACAACAGGTTCCTATGTCTATACTTGGGATGACAGAAGACTGCCCAGCTCAGTCCTCCTTTTCACTCTGTATGCAGGATAGCAATAGCAGTCAGGTGGAAGGCAAAGTTAGATTATATTTAATCAGGAAAACAGTATCTCCCTTGTCCCTTCCTCTTAAGCATAATACTTAAAATCTTGCAAAGATTAGAAATAGAATAATATCCAAGCTCCTTACATTGGGTCACAAGATAGCTCTAGGTAAATAGATTGCATAATTGGCCGTATACTTACACTTCAGTTCAAGAAATAAGAAGAAGCTTGACAAAAACAAAGAAGGCAGCTACAGGCATGGTGCCTTCATTTTAACCTATTTTCGGCCTTGGCAATGACAGGTTTCAGCTGACCAATCTACCTGACCAACCTTGTGCGGACAGGACCCTCAATTGTGGCAGCAGCTTTGGTTTCCTACCAGGAAAAGAGGAAGGATGGGGTAGATTTTCCTCCCCTCATCTGTAGAGCTTGGGGGTGGGGGGGGAGAGGCTAGGAGGACAGGTGAGGTGATGGTACCTCATGATGTCCTGATGAATATTCACTTAGTCTCTGTGGGACAAATTGGGTGCAAACTCTCTGAATCCTGCCTCAGAGACTGCATTACCATCACGTGAAAGTTGACAGCTGTTGCTGATTAAAACAGCTCCAACTGCGCAATCAGAATTGCACTATTGAGATGCTGAGTCGAGGGAGATAGAGCCTTTATGAAGGGCTTAAACACAGTCCCTTGGATGATCTGTAGTTTTATTAATACACACACACACACACACACACACACACACACACACACACACACACACAATTGGGAATCATGAGTGAATCGTTCCGAAAAACACTCTCTGGATAAGAGGCACCCTTGGAATTTGCCTGTCTCAGACAAGGGAGTTTGGATGAGGAATTATTCATCTGTAATGGGGAAAGGGACTGGAGAAAGTGCAAAGAAAGTTCATTCTCAGTAGGGTGATAAAACAGAGTTGCTTTCCTTTTCTCTTGTGGGAGAAAAGTCTCCCAAATACTCATCACTGGCTTTCCTGTACCCCTTGTACTCCCTGCCTGAGTAATCTATGTTTCGTATTGCAGCTTGAAATCTACTATTTAAGGCAACATGCTCTTTGTTTCTTTCCAGTGGTGGGCTTTGGGATGGACCCTGACCTTCAGATGGACATCATTAGTGAGCTTGACCTTGTGAACACCACCTTCGGAGTCACTCAGGTGTCTGGATTGCACAATGCCAGCAAAGCATTTTTATTCCAAGGTAAAGACACTTCCTCTTTGCATGAGGCTAAGAGGAGGGTTTGCCTGGGGAATGTTTATCTGGTCTGTATATGGGGATCAGGGTTGCTATTTTTTCTTATTGCCTGAAGAGCATTTACATATGCAAGGAGTGTTCTGTAGGTAAGAGGAGGCACTAGGGGGCGTGGTAGTAAAATATTTGGTTTGGCAGTGAAATGTTCTCCTGAGGATTTTGGTGGGGCACCCATAGTGGAATGTATTAACAAAACTCTTGAAAACCATTGGCTAGTCATATTTCCCTTACTGTCATCTCTATTTTTACCTCTACCTTCTCTGTCTCTTACCTAATGAAGAGACCATGTGTACAGAGATGTCTATGGCTGCATTCTCTTTGGAAACTTGACTACAATTCAGTTAAGCATCAAAGAGGCACTTTATAAAGGCAGCACAGGATGGTTGTTAAAGCATGGGTCCAAATGCTAGTCGTGCTACTGGCTTTAGACTTTGGGCAGAAATTTAGCTTGTCTTCTCATATAAAGTAGTAGACCCCTGTTTTGTTTGCATGTATGAAAACAGAATGATAAGGCTGGCTGAAGTTGTGTTGGGAAAGGAGGAGCTAAGGGAGAGATTGATTGTGTGAGATTGACACTGGGATATGTTATAGACATATATTGATATGTCACAGTAAAAGTCCCCATACTGCTAATGTATACAAATAAAAATTAATAAAAAAGAAATACATAACAATGACTATCTGTACAGAAAGAAGGAAGACACAAGTGGAGAGAAAAGATGGGGTAAATTATATTCCTTTGGACATATTTAAAAAATTTTCAGATCGGGTGCCAGTAGGCTCATGCCTATAATCCTAGCTACTCAGGGAGGTTGAGATCTGAGGATTGCTGTTTAAAGCCAGCCTGGGCAGGAAAGTCTGTAGGACTCTTACTTCCAATTTAACCCCCAGAAAACTGCAAGTGGCACTGTGGCTCAAAGTGGTAGAACACAAATCTTGAGCAAAAGAGATCAAGGGCAGCACCCAGGCTCTGAGTTCAAGGCTCACAACTGACAAAAAAAAGATTTTTAGCCATATTTTTTACTCATTCCTAAAATAAAAAAACAAATATTTAGACTTCAATAAATAAATAAAATAATAGGTCATTATAACAGCTACCTCATGAGGATATACAGCAGTATCTATTTGTAGCAAGTGCTCACTGAGTACTAGCTATTGCTTTGAAATTCCTTCTATGTACTGCACAGTGTGTGAATAGTAGGGTTATGAGTAAGAGTATATAAGACAGATTCAGTCCCTGCTCTAAAATCTAATGAAGGGCACAGCAAATTACACAAGTCATTATTAAATTAAAATGTCGATACTCGCATTGAAGGGGATGTATAGGCTGTCAAACAAGAACAATACAGGCAGGTCTGATTCAATTGGAGTAGGAGATGGTGGTAGGCAGAGAAAGGCCACCTTGAGAAAATGGTAAGTCAGCAGCCTTGAAGAATGAATAGAAGCTTCGTGTTGGAAGGAGTCGGAGTCAGAGCATTTTAGGTAGAGGCAACAGAATACAGAGGTTATAAGCAGAAACCAACACAATGAGGTCTAACATACGTGAGGGTTGATGAGTGCCTGAATACGTAGGCAGGCACTAGGTTACAGCGGACACAGTAGTCAGAGTTGATATTCTGCTCATATGCCTGGGTTTGTCTGGACTAGTGCTTTATGGCCAGTGTCCATTATGGTATGCAGGAAGCCATATTAATGGTTGTATATTTTAATCTCAAAGTAGTTGGGGACTTTTGTAGAGATTAAAGTTGGATGGGAACTTATCAGATATGATAGTAAGGTGGCTTGGATATTTCTGTATCAACAGGAAGGCCTTTTGTGAAGAAAACAGAAGGGCTATTTTAACATGAGTGGGTCAACATTGTATAATGAGATTTACATATGAAGTCCTGTTCCTGCTCTGCTCATCAATCATTCATTCCCCACTACTCTTTGTAGTTTATATTTTGGCAACTGCTTCTGGTATGGCTGCCAGACTGCAACAACTTGGAGGGACTTTTGGCTTCAGTTTTTGGGAAGAATAATTTCATTTTGGGAATTTGAGGCAGCCTTTCCCTGTATTCTTATCTCTTATGATTATATTGTGCGCAAGATAATTGTGCCCAAGATTATCTTTTATCCAAGATAAAAATCCTCCTATCTTAACATCTAAAATTTGATTGTATGCACAATTCCTCTTGCCCTGAAGGTGACAGATCTATAGGTTCTAGTAATAAACCCAGGGACATCTTTGGGGGAACCATTATTTTGCTTATCACAATTTTGCTTAATCACAAATACTCCAATCCCCCAAAGATTCATGCCTGTCCCACTTGCAATATATATTCACTCTAATACCAATAACTTAAAAAATATTCATTATTATATTATTAACTCAAATCCAAAATCTCTTTTTATCAGCTGATAAGTTCCAAATTACATCATCTAAAGACTTTAAACCAGGCATGTTCAAGACCCATATGAGGGTAAAAGTACCTTTCCTTTGTAGATCCGTGAGAAAACAAACAAAAAATAAGTACTCTGCTTCCAAAATACAATATGCAGAAACAGGTATAGACTACCACTGGTAGACATTTCTGTTTGAAGAGGGAAGAAATGGGAAGAAGAAAGGGTTACCAATCCCAGATAATTTTGAAGTACTGCAAACACTATTGAGGTTCAGAGTTTAGGATTAACCCTTTGCTTTCTGTGATGGTGGGGCATTCCTGAGAGATATCTCTTCGGCATGAAGGATAGGGTGTGTTTCTTGAGTAGTTTTATCAGTCTGTTTTCTGCCAGAAAAATTTCAGAGGTTGCCAGTCTTCTTTAATTTTGTCCTTTTCCTCTTCTCTTTAGTTCAAATGGGCATTGTTTCTGTTTCTATAAAATTCTCAAGAATATGATTAATTTAGATAGGATCTCACTTTGTGACCTAGGTTGGCCTTGAATCTCCCAAGGGTTTACAGATGTGAACTACCATATCAGGATTCAAGTTTTTTTTTGTTGTTGTTGTGGTACTGGGATTTGATTGACTGTTTTTGATGAAATGCTAGTGATTGTGAATTTTTCCTAGTTTGATATTAGGTTTTACTTTTGGTATTTCTATTCATTATTTAAAAAATATTGTTATTATAAAGGTGAAATACAAAGATGTTACAGTTACATGTCAGGTTAAGAGTACATTTCTTTTTGGGCAATGTCATCCCTTCCCTCACTCTTTCAGTTAAAAAAAATTCATTGTTCTTGAAGTTTGTTCTAGCACAAGTGAAGTCACTAGCAAACAATCCTGTCCTTTTAGATGCTATTTTTAAGGTATGTGGATGGGCTCAGAAAAGAACTAGTTCTAATAACAAAGTAGAGCTAAATTTTTCCCTCACTGAGGCAAGACCTTTTGGTATACTGGACTCAATGTCCCACGAATCATGAGGTTTCCATGTGACTACCAAAAAGGATATCATTTGGTCCTGAGGGTTTACTGAACACTGTTTCCTTTTGGGTGTTCCTAGTCTATGCTTGGGTGTTTTTCTCACATACTTGCACTGATCACAGGTTCTGTTGAGTAAAGATCTTAGGGGAGATTCTAACTTCTTCATTTGTCTTATAATCTCCTTTGATGCACTTTGTTCTGTGAAATTCAAGTGCCCCAGCCTCTCTAGACATTCAGCATAGAGATTTCTGGACTCTTCCTGCATCTCCTCCTCTCTAGAGCCATCAGCTATAGCAATTCTAGGACTCACCTCTTTTGGATATTATGTCTCAATTACTACTACCTCTCATTGATTGCTGTCTAGTGCAAGAAAAGGGCAAACCATCATGTTAAATCCAATTTTAAATTAGTGAAAGTTATATAAAATTAGAACTTTATTTTTTCAGCTATACTAGTAGCTTTTTGATGTCTTTATTTGTTATATGTGACTGGAGTTTACCTTCCTGGATAGTTCAGGTCTAGAGAGGCTCAGGGATTTCAATTTTTCATCACATCTCAGTTATTATGAACAGACTGTAAGACCTTGGCTTTCAAAATTAATATGTGAGAGCAACTAACAAGATATATATATATATATTAGTACAAGATATATATATAATATATATATATTAGTACTTACTATATATGGTTGTGGTGAAGATTAGATGAATATATAATATAATACATAACAGTACTTATATATAATATAATATAAAATATACATGTGATATACAATAGTTCTTATATATAGTTGTAGTGGAGATGGGATGAGTTAATACAAATATGGTGCTCAAACTGTATTTGGTATTTGGTGAGTACCCATTAAATATAAATCAACATATTTTGAAGTAATAGGATATTGCTTTGGCTTTTTAAAAAATCACATGTTATCATTTGCTTTGTAGTTTACTAATGGCCAAATTTAACATGCCCAGGTAGATTAGGATGATGAGAAAAGCAGGTCATGGAGGAGCAGAAGGTTAAGGCACAGTACTTTATGTATTAATCTATTTTACCTTCACTTTATCCATAAAAGTAGGAATCATTTTTATATTATTATTATTTTTAATAATACACTATACATAGTTTTTCTTTGCTTGCCAGTAGTGGGGCTGGAACACTTAGCTTTAGTTTTAGCTTTTTGGCTCAAGATTGGTACTTTACTACTTTTTGGTGATTAATTGGAGATAAGAATCTCATGAACTTTCCTGTCTGGGCCGGCTTTGCTCCTGGATCCTGAGATCTCAGCCTCTGCAGTAGCAGAGGGTCACAGACATGGGTCATAAGCACCCAGGCACTATGATGTCTTCTTATCAGTAAGTATAAGTACTTTGAGACAGTATTGCAATACCAGTTCTGTCTCCTCAATGCCTTTAGACTCGCTGTTCTTATCTGGGAGGAAGAGGAATGCACATGCAAAATTGAGCAATTAAATTGTAAGGGATGAGAAAGCACTTTTAAAGTGTAGAGAATGAACAATAAGTTAATGATTATTTCTTTCATTTCT